CCCCAAAACCCCAAAACCCCAAAACCCCATGGCTTAAGAATCTGAGAAGATATTAGAGGATAAAGAATTTGATAAAATATACTACTTATGGCATTCACGCTAAGTGATTAATAGCTTCACAAAATTATATTATTAAGATCATTCAGGTCTATACATCTACATGTATTGAATCAGCACTTACATCCTCCAGATTTTTCATCCTTCCTTTCGGCCATTGAGGCTTTAGTTATTTTGATAGTGTCAGATCTTCCCTTCAGAGCAATCTATAAAGATTAATTAGAATTATGAAATCTTACATCAGCTTCTCCAGCTAAATGTCTAATGTATAATTTCTCTCCAAGCTAGGTAAATAATTACTCAATACCCTCATTAGACTTTGCGCTAGTCTATTAAAAGATTGCTTTTAATTTCTTAGCATACTCTATACCAGATTTCAAAGGAATCTCCTCTTATTCTGACATGTCGCATTTATTGGCTACAAGTGCCAGCTGAAGTTAATTGGCGCCGTTGTTTTCTATCTCATTAACCCACCTGCCTATTGAAACAAATGTCTCCTCACTTGTGATATCGTATATTAAGATCACTGAAGCAGCATTTTTATAGTACATGGGAGTTATTGATCTGAACTTTTCTTCACCCGCAGTATCCCATATTTATAGCTTTATTTGTACAGGAACTACTCCTTAAGGAGCGATCTCAATTACTTTAGAGGTAAACTAAGCTCCTATCGTAGACTCAGTGCCTGTTGAAAATGTATTCTCTGTGTACCTTTTAACGATGCTGGTTTTGCCAACAGATTTATCACCTATCATAACTATCTTGAAGGTGATCATTTTCGATTTTGATTTTTCGTCTTTGCCTTACATTTATAAATTATAAATATTAATTTAAATGTCAGAAAACGTAAAATAATTTCAACAACCACATTTTGAAAGTAGTCAAAAGAAACCATTCAGATAAAAACTATCTTCTTAAAGTAAAACTATTATATAAAATTGATCTATAGACTACACTGATAGCTTAACAGAACATTTTGATTAAATAATGAAATAGGCTGAAGCTTTATCATAGAAATATATGAATTAGTCAATAGAACCAGTTAAAATTGATAGAAAAGATAGTGAAAATTAGAGTGCTCAGTAAAATCAAATTTTAAAGCATCAGCAAAGGTTAAAGAAGAAAAACGGAATGAGTAGAGCAGAATTGATCTAATAGTAGAAAGAAAACATCAATCATTTAGATGTTGGTATATCAGATGCTATAACTTATGATGGAGAAAATTATAACTCGCTGGAGTAGTTGCAAAGTCAGTTTGAGTAAAAAAGAAAGTCATCTTTAAACACATCTTTAACACCTAGCCAGTTGAAATAGAAATTAAACTAGATAAATTCTAGTCAATATTAGGCTTTGTCAAATGATCCAACTTTCTTTGACAATGGTTCTTCACTGAAAAAGAAGAGACAACGGATCGGTTCAAATAATAAATAGGCTAGTAAGAGCATTAGCTCAAGTAGATAATTAAATATTAATAACAGTAGAAGTAACATCAAAATAAATGATCAATCTGCCAATAAAGGAAAGCATCAAGCTCTTCAGGCAACAATTGCCTCTCATAGACTCTATACAGATAACTTCCATAAGATGCAGAAAATAGAGGAAATGAAGTAAAAGACTATGCAAAAAGAGATGTAACAGATGAGAGCACCTGAGATCAATAAAAAATCTCTTGAAATGGTCTTCTAACAAAATATGTAGCCTATCTAAAATAGATGTAAAGAAATTTTAGAAAGTAAGGAGCGCAAGAGAAAATAACTAGAAGTGATTATGGCTTATGAAAATGCGATTAAAGATCCTGAGAACATCAATCCCCAGTTTAAGCCAGATTTAACTATTTCTTAAGAAACTGTGACTAAGAATTATAATGGTGGGTTCAATGGCTTTTTATAAGAGATGAATAGATGGAAAGTCAAAAGGGATAAAAAGGTTAATGACATTAAGAAGGAAACTCAAGATTTAAAAGGCTATAACTTTAAGCCAGAGATTAACTAGCAATCCCTTAAGATACTTGAGAATAAGAGAGCTAGCTAATAATCCTAGTTAAATCAAAGCAAGAGTTAACTTAGTATGAATCATTCACTTTCTAAATCAACAATAAATGAATCATAGGGGAAGTATAAAATGCCAACTCCAATTTAATAGCTTAAAGATCATAGTAAAAAGGTGAAGCGTAATTCATCGTAGGAATTCCAATTAAGAACTACTAAAAGAGCTTTTGATAAACTAGCATAGGACACCTCTTAATCATAACTAACAATTCCTAAGAGGGAATCTTAAACTCGTGAAAGATCTCAAAAAAGTATAGGGGCTTCATCAATAGATGAAGAAGAAAGAAAGATTAAGGAAAAAGCAGCTAAATTTGTGGAGAAACTAACAAAGAGCATTATAGATTAAACTAAGGTAAATATTGAGATGAAGCAAGGCTCTTAAAACATGGATATGTTTATGAGAGATGTTTAGGAGAACACTTTTGGGTCCAAGGCTATTACAAGTACGATCAGAGATAATACAATAGACTCAAATTTACTGCAATTACTAGAATAAAGCCTTGATTAAAACTTTTAGCAAGAGCACTTATTGAGGACTCAGCACCAAAACTAAGATATTCAAATGAACTTACAAAATATCTCCAATAATCATAGGAAGACAACTTCTTAATATGTTAGCAGTAATCACACTACTAGGTCAATTCAATCGGAATATAAATAATCACTAAGTAACTAGAGATAAGCGTAAATTCAGTCTCAGCATATGTTGATTCATGAATAGACTGAGCCTTTTTAACAAAGACACTCGATGATAAGCCAGAAGTCAACTAGAAATAACAAACTTGAAGCGAGCTCTATAACCTCAAAAAATTTGACAAAAGCGTAAAATAGCAGCAAGCAGGTAATGCAAAGCAAATCTTCATCCAAATAAAGTGCTGGCATTTCATCTATTAATAGATCTATGAAAAATAAATGATAAATTTACAACTAACATCAAACAAAGCTTGAATTAAAGTTGGGGTTTTGGGGTTTTGGGGTTTTGGGG